CCGCCAACGCCGAACCCACCCATCTGGTTCCAGAACTCCACGCTTGAACGCATGGATGTGGACCCGCCCCGTCCTAAGATGCGATCGATCCCCTCGTCAGACGACCCAGGAGTCTACTCGGCCAACGAGACCGAAGCCCCTATGCCGCCAGAGTATCCGTCACCCACAGACGAGGACCTTCGCCTCTTGGACGAGCTGAATGACCAAGAGGAGGCAGGAGGACGAGGAGGAGGAGGAGGAGGATCGAGGAGGGTCCTCGATAAACATGTTTTGTAGTGTCTGTGCCATTCTGGACCTCCAGAAGCCTCTGGAGGCCTCAACCAGGTCCTTTTGGATAGCTCAACGAGGCCTCAAGGGACCCTCCTCTGGAGACTGCCTTAAATAAAGTAGCGGCGCGTAGAAGCATGGGTGCTTCTAAGAAGCCTGCCCCCTCCCCCTACCCCCATTATGCGCGTACCCGAAGGGGGTGGGGGGGCACACCAGCTTCAGATGGCGACGCTTCGCCGATGCATTGGCGATGCGCCCCCGACGACGAGACCGCGCGCTCCTGGACAGGCCAGGATCCCCGAACCCCGGTCGGTGGTGTATGAGCGCTTAGTCGAGGGAGTTCCCGCTGTGCCCCCCCTCTCAATCGGACGCACAGGGACTTTCTAGTACAATGTGTCCCCCTTGGAGGTTTGCGTCCGACCCGAACATGTGTTACAAACATCTTGTAGTATATCGTTTCCCGAGCGGTATCGCAAGAAAGCGCCTGGCACGGAGCTGATACTATAGGATTTCTCGGCCGCGCGTCGCCCAGCAGGGGGGGGGGAGCGACGCACGGGACGCCTTTTCTGTCTATCCTTCCCCGTCGGGGGTGAGAGAGCACTCTCCCGTGGTCGGGGGGGGTCCAGGGATTGAGGGAAATTGACCCACGTCGTAGTCTCGTCAAAGGGAAGCCCCTTCCCTTTGTCCCTTCCCCGGCGGGGGGGCCGGGGGGCGGGGGGCAGATTCGCATCCCCCGTTTGCGGCTTTTGCAAGGGGGGCCCTCTGTAGATGCGCTGGAGGAGGGGGGGTGGCCACGACGGATCCGCAAGAGCGCCCCTAGACGGCCCAAGCTCCACAAGACAGCCCAAGAACGCCTAATGACGGCCCAAGGGGGCCCACAGACGGCCAACGAACGCCGTCCAGATACGTTTCCCCCTCGAGCGCCCCCGACACCATGAAAAGCTGTTTCCAAAAGACCCCATAATGTCACAGCGACTCCTCCTCCTCCTCCTCCTCCTCCTCCTCCTCCTCCTCCTCTTCCTCCTCCTCCTCCTCCTCCTCCCGCCCCCCCCATGCTCCCCCTCCTCCTCCTCCTCCTCCTTCTCCTCCTCTGCCTCCTCCTCCTCCTGCTGCTCCTCCTCCTCATCCTTCCCCCCCCTCCTCCTCCCTCATCCGCCTCCTCCACCCTTCTTTTTTCCCCCCCACTCCTCCTCCTCCTCCTCCTCCTCCTCCTCCTCCTCCTCCTCCTCTTCCTCCTCCTCCTCTTCCTCCTCCTCGTCCTCTTCCTCCTTCTCCTCCTCCTCCTCCTCCTCCTCCTCCTCCTCCTCCTCCCTCCTCATCCTCCGCCTCCTACCCCCGCCGCTCGTTTTCATCTTCGTCGTCATCAAGGTCGGCGGCACCGGCCGTACGGCCTTCGCAATAGTATTCGTATGTTGGTGTGACGCCGATCTCAAGGCGATCCCGAAATGGGGGAGGGGTCGGTGGGATTCGCATGCCGTGGGGGAGGCGGGGGTGAGAGAAGAGAGGGAGATGTGATCGGGTCGGGCGACAAGGGGCGGTATCGTGCAGGCGGGGTAGACTGACCAGCTCACGTACCTGGGTTTCCTGACGCCTCCTGGCGACGCAGTCGCCAACAAATCGAGGAACCCACCTAGCAGCGGGGCCGAGCCCAACCGCACACAGTAGAATTCGTAACCTCCTCTTTCCCACTCCCCCCTTTCGTCCAGCCTGGTGTGAGCAGGGGGAAACCTAGGCTTCCAGGCGCTGCAGCAGCGCGACGGGCGTTCTGGTTTCGAGTCGTGTCTCTGAAAACCAATTTCTAGCACCAAGGCCATCAAGAGAGGGCCCGCAACGCGAACGGGGTCCCAAATATGTCGCCGCGCCGTTGGATCTCGACCCTGGCGGCCGAGGCGCCCTCCCCAAGTCGAAAGGCCGCGCGTCGGAACAAACGGCGCGGCGACATTTGAGTCCAGAGCCACTGGAGCCCTCGTCGTAAGCAATGGTGACGTCAGAGCTGGCGAGCATCCCTGTCGGCCTCCGTGGGCCCCAGGCTGGTGGGACAAGAACAAGACTGTTGAAGAGGGACCTACCGTCCCGGCAATCCTATAGGCCTACCTGGACAGGTCCCTAGAATAGGAGGATGTCCTAAGAACGCAAGCCATGTTCTAAGTACATGAAGCCGATGTGTTGAAACCAAGCGGCCTCACCCAGAAATGTTCTAAGAGCATGTCCAGGAAACCGCAACATGCTCTAAGTACATACCTTGGTGGGCCCATAGGCAAGACAGGGCGCCTCGCCATTCTTACATAATTCCGGAGGTCCGCGCGGATTCCTTGGATCGGTGCTGGACCCCTCTGGCGGCGCGGGAGGCGCCGCCCGGGGGGCACAGCGCCAGTCCCTTCCCCTCCCCTCGTCGCTCCTGCGCGCGCGTGCTGGCAGGAGGGAGGGCCGTACCATGGCTGTTTTTGCGCAGGCCGCGTCTGACGAGCCAGCGAGACCGGCGAAAGCTCACCACAGAGCGCCTGCACAACAGGCATCACATACATCACAGGTTTGAGATCATCAAGTGTTGCATAGACCAGGTGGGCCTCAGACCCTCGCGCTCCCTTCGGCTCGCCCCTCCCAACGTCAGCCGCGTCGAGCGTTGATTCCCACGCGCTTGAGGGCAGATTGCTTGTCCTTGCCTTGTCCTTCCGCCCTCCTCCTCCTCCTCCTCCTCCTTCCACGCCTCCTCCTGCTCCTCGCCGTCGTCGTCCCTCTCCTCCTCCTTCTCATCCTCCTCCCCCTCCTCCTCCTCCTCCTCCTCCTCCTCCTCCTCCGACACGACCTGCAAGACCGGGTAGAAAACATGAGTGGCAGAGAGGACGATATGGGCCTCGACGACCTCATCAGGTGGGCCGAGGAGGCGGCCGAGGAGGTACACCCTGCGAAATGCTTTAGAAATCATGGGTTAAGAAATTCATAGTCTCAGAATTTGAAATCAACCCCAGAATGTCTATTCAAATGTTAGGATTTACATCGAAACATTAAGAATAATCGAGACTCTGGCCGAAAATTTGGGTTTTCTTAAGCATAGCCTGGAGTGTATTCGCGGAGACCGACAAGACCGAGGAGGTGACGCAGGCCGCGAAGCTGCCGCAGGCAGCGCCCTTCGAGGCGCCTGTGGAGACGCACCGGGTGGAGCACCATCAGAAGACAATCGTGAGTGGGCGGAGGACCTCGGCGACGAGAGCATGCTGGTGCAGGACAACCTTCCAAGCGTTCCCCGCTTCCCCGTGCTCGAGGTGACCGTCGGGAAGATGGAGGCGGCAGTGGTAGGTAAGCCAGAGAAGCACGGTCAACGGCACATGGAGGAGGTGCCTCAGGAAGAGCATCGAGAGAAGACCGTCGAGGTGGGCATCGTGCCGCAGGGCGTCGAGGTGCCCAGCCATCTCGTGAAGTCAGTGGAAGCGCCGCACGTTGAGAACGTCGACGCGCTCTTCCACGAGGAGGCGGATTGCGAGAAGCCGCGCGAGAAGATCGAGGACATCGAGGCCGTGTCCAGCAGGGTCGAAGCCGCGGGGGCCGCCGCGAGCGCCGCCGGGCTGCCCGGGGCCCTCCGAAGCCATTCTGTCACGGAGCCCCGCTGCGTGGCAAAATGCTCCGTCGCCGCCCGTGGGGGCCTCCGTGGCCGCCGCCGAGGCGGAGTCGCAGGCCGCGAAGGGGGCGGCGATCGCAAAGACCAAGACCATCCAGGAGCTGAATGCATAGGTCGCGGACCCTGGGAAGAAGGAGATCCAGAAGACCATGTGGCTCCAGGCCGCGACGGCGAAGTCCGCCAAGCGCTCCGAGCCCATGTTCCAGGAGATCGACGAGATGATGGGGCAAGGCCTGCTCTCGGATTTCATGGCCAAGGAGATCGACGACGTGCGCGGCAGTTGGCGCCGCGCGTGCCAGATGGCTGGCAACCCCGTCGCGCAGGTCCAGCCGCAGATCGGGAAGCTGGCCAAGCCTCAGGTGCTGTGAGGCGTGCACTTCGCAGTGCACCAGTTCGTGGTTCTGTACTCGGCTGGCTCAGGCGGTGGGGGCCCGCTATTCCCTCTGCTACCGCGACTTCAGTAAGAGGTCGCTCTACTTCTGACGGTGGGGGACCGTAACCCCCGTCGGCGTGCTCGGCTACGAGGGCTGAGCTGGTGGCCTGCCAACGACGAGGCTCGTATTCCTCCTGCGTGCAGGCTTCGGAGTGTCACGACACGTGTCTCGAAGCTCGTTGACGCATGCCCCATAGTCCAGCAGATCTCCTCCTCCTCCTCCTCCTCCTCCTCCTCTTCCTCCTCATCCCCATCAATCCTCATTTCCCCCCCTCCTCCTCCTTCAACTCCTCCTCCTCCTCCTCCTCCTCCTCCTTCTCCTCCTCCTCCTCCGCCCCGCCGCTTCCTCCCTCCGCCAGCGGCTCCGCCGCCGTCCTGCTCCCGCCGGCCGTCGCTGGCCTTCCACCCGAGGGTCAGACGCGCAGAGGGCGATGCCCTTTCTGGGGCACCCCATGTGGAGGAGGAGGAGGAGGAGGAGGAGGAGGAGGAGGAGGAGGAGGAGGAGGAGGGAGGAGGAGGAGGAGGAGGAGGAGGAGGAGGAGGAGGAGGAGGAGGCCATTTCCGTCGCCGACCACGAGCCTGATGCGGGACTCCAGAAGTCGTGGGCGTGGATGTTTCATGACGGTGCGGCCGAGGGAAGGCTGCTGTATCCCAGGGACCCTGCGGCTTGGCCCAACCCAGCTCCTTGCAACTTCTCGATCTCGTCCTGGAGCTCGTTAATCATCGCCTTCGCCTCCGAGATGTCCTTTGCCTTGCGGGCCAGCGTGTCCTCAAGGATACGTGTAAACATAATATATCGCTGACGTGTATAATCTCCCCGCCAACCTTGAAGCCAGTATACATCAATATCTGAACTGGAAAAGACCTGTCCTTGCCCCGTGGTGTCTACTGTCCCGCTCGAGGGATCCTCGCACCAGCACGCGTACTTGTCGTAGGAGGCCAGCTCGTTCTTGCCGTCGCTCTCGATCTCCAGGGCGAGGGACTGCATCAGCTGAACGACCATTTTGATGTTCCTCACTGGAAGACCCGCACTTTAAGCATCTGTTGGAAAGGGCAAGGAAGAGGATGAGGATTGGTATTATTTGGACGCCCGAAATGGGCACGGAAAACATGGGCACAATGCCCAACAACGGATGTTGTCCCAAACCAACAGCGGCCGCTGTTGGGCAGGCGGCCTCCTGTTTCGAATGGACACTGGACGCGGCGGCGTGGACAACGAGTCCTGTTCAAAATGAACAGGATCCACTGTTGGGCACTGTGCCTATTTGTTCCGTCCCCATCTCGTGCGTGCCGATGGTACGGTAAGGCTCCAGGGTGCGCACAGACAACCCTCCAAAGTATTCCCCGCTGGCCTCACCAAGCCCCCCGAATAGTCCGGGGCGGTCTCAACACCCAGCCTTGGGGTGCGGAGCGCCCCAGGGCCGCCGCCAGGGGCAGGGTGCTGAAACCGCCCCAGGCAACTGGGGTCCCTCCCTCCCTCCCTCATCCTCCCCCTCCTCCTCCTCCTCCTCCTCCTCCTCCTCCTCCTCCTCCTCCTCCTCCTCCTCCTCCTCCTCCTACTCCTTCTTGGGGGACATTTCGGAGTCTGCCCTGGGAGCTCCCCGCAGGGCTGCTCGGCATCTGCGCGCCGCCCGCGGCGAACGCGGGGCGGTAGGCCACGCAGAGCGCGGCGGAGACGGCCAGGGGGGGCCGAGGCCACGGCGACTCGTCGGGGCTCGGCCCTCTTTTTCTCGTCCTCACCGTCATCGTCTCCTTCCTCCTCCTCCTCCTCCTCCTCCTCCTCCTCGTTCTCCGCCTCCCTCTGATACTGTAACTCTTTGTCATCGTCCTCCTCCTCTCCTCCTCCTCTCCCTCCTCTTCCTCCTTCCTCTCCTCCTCCTCCTCCTCCTCTGCGCGGCGGCGGGGCCTCCCAGCGTCCGATGGGAGGCCCGCCGCCTTTGCGCGCCGCGGGCGAGCGCCCGCCGTGCCCTCGCCCGCCGCGGCGCCGCGCCCGCGGCCGCGGCGACGCCCCGCAGGGGGGGGGGGGGAGGAAGAGGAGGGAGAAGGGGGAGAGAAGAGGTTATGGTCGTAGTGCGTGGTCGTAGTGGTCGCGGTCGTCGCGCGCGGTGAGTGGCGCCCTGCGCTGTAGTCGTCGAGAGGTCGCCAGTTCCAGGCCCAGGGGTGTGAGCCACCAGACCCCTGCGTGAGGCGCGCTGGCTGGGCCGGCGGCCAGATTGAGGTGGCACTGGTGCTTGCGTTCAAATTCGATGGAAGCAGCGACTGCTCGGTCGACGCCGCCGGTGCTCTGGAGCGCGGCGGCGCAGGCTGCCTTCTGGCTGAGTCGTGCTTGCCCGTGGGCGGCCCTTGCCTGGTGGCTCGGACTGCAGTGGTACTCCAGATTTCGCAATAAAAGGGAGGGGGTCTCATTTCGGGGGGGGTCTCTTCCGGGCTATCTTGGAGGGCCTGGGGGGGTCTGGGGACGATGTTTTGGAGGGTTCTCCCACAGGGGGGGTCTGAAATGGCTTGTCTTGGAGGGTCCAGACCCCCTCCCTTTTCTTACGAAAACTGGAGTATATGGGGCGCACGGCGGCGGCTCTCTGGCGCGCGGGGTCATGCGACGGGATGGGGCGCCAATCTGTCACGGCCTGGGTCGTGCCCGGCCTCGCGAGGGCGAAGTGGCGCGGGGCGCTCGGCGTCTGGGCTCGCTCTGGGCGAAGCCCTGGAGCCGAGACGAAGAGGGCGAGGGAGAGAGGGGGGATGTAGTGGGAGAGAGAAAGGGAGAGAAAGAGAGAGAGAGAGAGACACAACATAATAAAGAGAGAGAGAGAGAGAGAAAAAGGGAGCGAGGGAGAGAGAGAGAGAGAGAAGAGAGAGAAACATGAATAGAGAGAGTGAGAGAGAAAGAAGAGCGAGATAGAGAGAGAGAGAGAGATAATTGCGCGCACACTCACACGTTTGCGTACATATATATATACATACATACATGTCTGTATACATACATACTCGTACATACATGTCTGGATACAGAAATAACTGTGTATGTGTGTGTAGATATACACATGCAAGTAATGCTGCAAGCACGATGGCCCCCCGAACCTAGTGCTGTCAGATGGCTTGGGGGGAATTGGGGGGATGAGGCTCCAGGGGAACATACGATTCTACACACATATATATGTATATATGGATCTCGAAAACAGTTAAAAATGCTCTACCTCGGAGCGGAACTCACCTCTGTTGCTTTCCCCGGTTGCGAATTGCAATCATCCTGGATGAGATATGTATAGTGTATATTTATATATATACGTGTGATGTATGGACATACACATGTTTATGCACACATATCTATATACACATATATATGTGTGCATATAGACGTATGTATATGTATATATATAATTACACATGCATTCCTATATACATATATATATATATATATGCGCAGCCCCCCCCCAACGCCCACTGATTTTCATCGCGGTTCGCGCTGATCGCACTCGCATTTTCTTTACCGCCAGATTCGGTTCTCGCCCTGAGACGGCGGCATCGAATAATGAACGTCATCTGGAGAGCCAACCACTTGATCCAGCATCTCCTTCCCCTCTTTCACCTCGTCCATCCTCCTCCTCCTCCTCCTCCTCCCCTCCTCATCTCTCCTCCTTCCTCCTCCTCAAACCTCAGAAGATGCAAGCGTCCGCTTCCCCCGCCTTTGGGAGAACAGGTATAAGATATCAGCGGCAGCGCTAACAAGAACGATGAGCGAACCATATGATTTCTCAGGCATTCCAGGGATGCACAGGGATGCTAAGTGACGGTCGCTGTGCAGGCTCAGGGATCCCAGGGATTCCAGGGATGCGAAGTCACGATCCCTGAGCAGGCTCAGGGACCCCAGGGCTTCCAGGGATGCGAAGTCACGATCCCTGTGCAGGCTCAGGGATCCCAGGGATCCCAAAGATTCCTTACCCTCCAGCAAAATCGACCTGGGGATCCACTAGCGATCCCGCGCTCAGAACCCCTGGGATCCCTGAGCCTGCTCAGGGATCGCGACGTCGGTTGTCAGCAAACCATATGGTTTCTCATGGATCCCAGGGATTCCAAGGATGGCAAGTCACGATCCCTGAGCAGGCTCAGGGGTCCCAGGGATTCCAGGGATGCGAAGTCACGATCCCTGTGCAGGCTCAGGGATCCCAGGGATCCCAAGGATTCCTAATCCTCCAGCAAAACCGACTTGGGGATCCACCAGCGATCCCGCGCTCAGAATCTCTGGGGTCCCTGAGCCTGCTCAGGGATCGCGACGTCGGTGGTCAGCAAACCATATGATGTCTCAGGAATCCCAGGGATTCCAGGGATGCCAAGTCACGATCCCTGAGCAGGCTCAGGGATCCCAGGGATTCCAGGGATGCGACGTCACCATCCCTATGCAGGCTCAGGGATCCCAGGGACCCCGGGATTCCTGACCCTCCAGCAGCATCGGCCTGGCGACTTCGCAAAGATTTGGGGCGTTGGGAATCCCTGGGGTCCCTGGGATCCCTGAGCCGGCACAGGGATCGTGACTTCGCATCCCTGGAATCCCTGGGATCCCTGAGCCTGCTCAGGGATCGTGACTTGGCATCCCTGGAATCCCTGGGTTCCCTGAGACATCATATGGTTTGCTGACCACCGACGTCGCGATCCCTGAGCAGGCTCAGGGATCCCAGGGATTCTGAGCGCGGGATCGCTGGTGGATCCCCTGGTCGGTTTTGCTGGAGGGTTAGGAATCCCTGGGGTCCCTGGGATCCCTGAGCCTGCTCAGGGATCGTGACTTGGCATCCCTGGAATCCCTGGGATCCCTGATACATCATATGGTTTGCTGACCACCGACGTCGCGATCACTGAGCAGGCTCAGGGATCCCAGGGATTCTGAGCGCGGGATCGCTGGTGGATCCCCTGGTCGGTTTTGCTGGAGGGTTAGGAATCCCTGGGATACCCTGGGATCCCTGAAGCTCTGCACAGGGATCGTGACCTCGCATCCTTGGAATCCCTGGGATCCCTGAGCCTGCTCAGGATCGTGACTTCCATCCTTGGAATCCCTGGGATCTGAGAAATACGCTGGTTTGCTGACAACCGAGTCGCGATCCTGAGCAGGACAGGGATCCCAAGGATTCTGAACGCGGGATTTCGCTGGTGGATCCCCAGGTCGGTTTTGCGGGAGGGTTAGGAATCTGGGATCCCTGGATCCCTGAGCCTGCACGGGGACGTGGGACCTTTCGCATCCCTGAAGCCCTGGGGTCCTGAGCTTGCTCAGGGATCGTGACTTCGATCCCTGGAATCCTGATCCTGAGCTGCACACGATTCGTCACTTTGGCATCCTGTGATCCCTGGAATGCCTGAGAAATCATTGTTCGCTTATCGTTCTTGTTAGCGCTGTCGCTGATATCTTATACCTGTTCTCCCAAAGGCGGGGGAAGCGGACGCTTGCATCTTCTGAGGTTGCGTTAGAAAAAAAGCATTCCGCTTGCAACACGTGACTCGGGAAGAGGAACGGAAAGGAGCAGGGATGATGAGAAGAGGCTGCGTCTCCAGCTTCGTGGAAGAGGGAGAAGGCGTAGAGTGGGTGCTGGGAGGGGGGCTGTCCATATATATATATATATATACATATATATATATATATATATATATCTCTACCTGGGGGAAAACCCGTCCCCCCCAAAAAAAAACTGGACTCCCGGGACCTGGCGCTTTGGGGCCCTCCGGACGGGCCTCGAAGCGGCCACCGGGCCTCGCAAGGCGTTTTGCCAAGCCTTCCCAGCACACTTAGGGCGATCAGGGGGGTCATCGGAGACGTCCCAGAGACCCCCAAGACAGCACAAGAGCGCTCCAAGAGTGACCGACGTGACCTCAAGATGGCCCAAGAGGCCTCCAGGACGGCCCCAAAGAGGCCTCCAAGAGCACTTCCAAGAAGGCCCTCCGAGGCAAAAATCATTGATTTTCTGTTTGTGTCTGGAGAATGTTAGGGGTCTCCTCTTTTCGGCTTCCCGACGCTCCAAGACGGCGGTCTTCTGGGCGTCCGAAGCCGCCTGGGAGGCTCCAAAATCGCCCCACAACCATCCGAAAGGGCTTCCAGGCAGTCCAAGAGAGCCCCAAAACGGCACAACACGGGTCCAAGATGGCCCTCAGAGAGCCCCATGGCGGCCCAAGATGGCCCCAAGACACCCTCCGAAGCATTCCAAATCGTGACCCGGTCGTTCAGGGAGACCGCGGTTGGAGGCAGGGTGGCCCGAGGAAGCCCCCAGAGGCCCCCAGAACACGCCCAGGAGGCCTCCAGAAGGCCTTAAGAAAGCCTGAAACAACTTTTGTGAGGCCCCCAGAGGCTCTCCAAGGAGGAGCCTCCGCAAAAAAGAGCTGAGGAGGATGGGGAGAATGCGCAGGGCATGGCGAAAATGAGGAAAAAGAAGCATGGAGGAAGGATAACGAATAACATTATTATAGCGGCGATGCCGGAAAAGGCAACAAGGAGTTATCGCTAAATTGTCGGCTTGACCTTCCTGCTAGTCCGCCTGCATACCAAACTTCAAGGACCAAGGTGCATGGCGCGAAGCGCCACTGCAGTCTTGTAAGTATATATTATATATGTACACACACATATATATATATATATATATATATATATATATGGGTCCTGGCCTATTCCCCCCCCCCCCTGCTGGAATCGATGTTTCGTTTTGGAGGGATTTCGGTCCACCGCAAACGCTTCACGCACGAATTGGGG